GCTTCCCCGCGGGCCGCTCCGCTCTCCTCCCGGGCCCTGTTTGAAGCCGTGAAGTTCTTTGTAGCGGAGTGAAGTGGCGTTTCGCAGCTGAGGCTACCGGCCGAGCGGAGCCGTCTGTCTGCACCTGCCTTCCACCGAGCCTGTGCCCCGGTTAAACATCCCCCGGAGCTGGGCGCTTGTTGCAGCCCTCCTGGAAAACCCTGCGGCTCTTGCGCGCGCGCGGTCTTTCGTCTTCAGAAAGCGGTTAACTTTAGTTAATGGATTTTGTATGTCGTGTCCGCCGGGGGTTTTGTGGAAGTGTCATGTAAAAGTCTTGAGTTCTGACAAGGTGGTTTTGCATTAGAAGGTAGACTGTGAGGCTAAATTTCAAGTCACGAATCAAAGTATTACGTGGGTAGTTTAAGTAGTGGGGACTCTTCAGTAATGTAAAGGTAATTGTTCCTTTAAATGGGATGTGAAGTTCTGGGTTTTTTTTTCTCCCCTGTGTCTTGAAAGGGAAGGTTTGATATTATTCTTCATCAGCCTAACATCTAATATGAAAACAATGTGTTTAAGTGTAATGCTTACAGACCAGAAGATACTGATTGTGTCAGAGGGAAAACTGTACCACAAGAACTAGTGTTTCTGCAAGTACAAGTGTAACTAAATGAAGAAGAGCCGCCAGCAATGCAGTGTCTTTAGATGTGTAAGAATGTGTAACACAAAGGCAGTGTTGTCCCTGCTGGCGGCATTACCGAAGTTGGTGGCGGAACTACTCAAGTTTGGATATTATTGCTCAGAAAATGATGTGGGCGTATTGCTAGCATCTCAGAAAGGAACCACTACATAATTTTGAATTGTAGTAAACCTATGTAATAAGAGATTTGGTCAACTTATTTGGCAGAAAGTAAACAGTATATGAATTGCTGCAGAGACAGTCACTTTCTGATGTAGGTCTGCGGTTGGAATAAGAGACCTATATTGGGAAGTTATAACAGTACTTGATATAGAATGGATTTTTCAGTCTCTGCCCAGACTGTAGTTGACTAAGGAGGAGCAAACAAAACAAGAGCAACAGAACTGTTGCTAGTAGGTTTGCACCATTAATTTCTCCTGCTCAGGGGAACTTTTCAAACTGGCAAATTTGGGAAAGCCTGAAGTCACTGTGTTTATCCCAGAAACCTACTACAGCTGCAGAGTTGCACTCAAGTCACAAAAAGCTTCACAAGGTAGAAGATAAAGGTGGCTGAATTCAGCTGGAAATAAAGTGGAAGTCGTTGCTGATGTGGGTAGTAAAATGATTTGCCACAAGATGTGTTGGATTCCCCGTTGTTTTGTGT